CCTGAGGAAGGAAGTCAGAGGTGTCTCTTGCTGAGGCATTTGACAATGAAGGTGCTACCTTTATCGTTGAATTCCTTCCCAAGAGACATTTCAGGCTTCCTTTAACCAACACGTAAAAACTGGCCTTTATTTGGAACGTTGGACCAATGGCTGTTTTTTTAAATTATTGCTGTTGTCCTAGATTTCTTTGTTTCTAAAGTTTAATGCTTTATCTAATTGTTGCCATGTAATTTTGTATTCTTGTACAGTGGTACCTTGGGTTAAGTACTTACCGTACTTAAGAAAAAAAGTACTTAAGTACTTTTTTCGCTCTATAAGACGCACCAGACCACAAGACGCACCTAGTTTTTGGAGGAGGAAAACAAGAAAAAAAAATTATTCTGAATCTCAGAAGCCAGAACAGCAAGAGGGATCACTGTGCAGTGAAAGCAGCAATCCCTCTTGCTGTTCTGGCTTCTGTGATAGCTCCACAGCCTGCATTCACTCCATAAGACGCACACACATTTCCCCTTACTTTTTAGGAGGGAAAAAGTGAGTCTTATAGAGCAAAAAAATACGGTAATTCATTCCGGAGGTCTGTTCTTAACCTGAAGCTGTTCTTAACCTGAAGCACCACTTTAGCTAATAGGGCCTCCTGCTGCCGCCGCGCTGCCGGAGCAGATTTCTGTTCTCATCCTGAAGCAAAGTTCTTAACCCGAGGTACTATTTCTGGGTTAGCGGAGTCTGTAACCTGAAGTGTATGTAACCTGAAGTGTATGTAACCCGAGGTACCACTGTACATCACTTCGAGTATAGGTTTCCTGCAGCAAGATGACATAGTAACAATGTCGATCCATTTCATTTCATTTATATCCTTCCTTTCCTTCAAGCAAGGTTACACAAACAGAAAGAGAGGGAGGGAGGGAGAGAGAACTTGATCTCCACAACAACCCTGTGAGGTAGTAAGGCTAATCATAATTATAATCCACCTCCTGGCTGATGGGCCTGATGTCCTCTTCTGGGAAAATACATTATTTCCTAGCAACAAACAGATTCATATTTTATTTGGAAATCCTATTAGAAAAGGCACACAAACAGTATACACATATACAGTAGTACCTCAGGTTAAGTACTTAATTCGTTCCGTAGGTCCGTTCTTAACCTGAAACTGTTCTTAACCTGAGGTACCACTTTAGCTAATGGGGCCTCCTGCTGCTGCCGTGCCGCTGGAGCCCAATTTCTGTTCTTATCCTGAAGCAAAGTTCTTAACCTGAAGCACTTTTTCTGGGTTAGCAGAGTCTGTAAACTGAAGCGTATGTAACCTGAAGCATATGTAACCCGAGGTACCACTGTAGGTTGCTTCCAGACCCACTGTTTTGGGGATTCAGTCACACACCGGCAAATTCAGATTGTGCCGTTATACTTCCTTGGGAAATCTTGTGCAACAAACCTGCTTCCCTCAGATCTTAAGGCCTTTTTGTGATAAGGAAAGTGATGGGAAAACTCACTGTGGAAAGTTTGGGATAGCACTTACGCCGACTCTCCGTCATCTAACCTCCCCACAAATTAAGTAAAATTAATGCTCACTGAAAAGTCAGCATTGTCTAATCTCCTCCGAAACGATTAGGGATGGATGCTCAACAAACAATTCACCTGGAAGTGCCCTGGCTCTCTGACATGTGTCAGTCAGGATTAGATAATGGATCCCAACACAGACATTTTCACCTGCTAAGACTGGCTTTGCAAGCTCTGCTGGCTCCTAAAATGGAGCTGGTGAACCAAAGAGGTAGATAAATCTGTCCATTTCCATTCTCTCCATTTCTCCCTTTTCTTTCTTAAATTCAATTCTCCACATTTCCATGTCAGTTTACTATTTTTTAACAAATTTAATTTTTTTAAAAAATCATCATGAAAAGTCATCAACACTTTATGTTGATGCGCAGTTGTTTTGACTAATATAATTTTTTTTCAAGCAATCTCCCCTAATATAATGCATTTCTGCATGTGATTTTCATACATCTATGCAGAGACATCACCTTGCCAACAAAGGTCCGTATAGTTAAAGCTATGGTTTTCCCAGTAGTGATGTATGGAAGCGAGAGCTGGACCATAAAGAAGGCTGATCGCCGAAGAATGGATGCTTTTGAATTATGGTGCTGGAGGAGACTCTTGAGAGTCCCATGGACTGCAAGAAGATCAAACGCATCCATTCTTAAGGAAATCAGCCCTGAGTGGTCACTGGAAGGACAGATCGTGAAGTTAAGGCTCCAATACTTTGGCCACCTCATGAGAAGAGCAGACTCCCTGGAAAAGACCTTGATGTTGGGAAAGATGGAGGGCACAAGGAGAAGGGGACGACAGAGGACAAGATGGTTGGATGGTGTTCTCGAAGCCACAAACATGAGTCTGACCAAACTGCGGGAGGCAGTGGAGGACAGGAGTGCCTGGCGTGCTCTGGTCCATGGGGTCACGAAGAGTCGGGCACGACTAAACGACTAAACAACAACAACATGCACTGTATGTCCATTTTAACATAGCACGTGCATTTCTTTACGTATTACTTGTTTGGAGATCAGAATTGCAAAATTCAGAGAAGCGCGAATTTCAGAGGTTGGCTTCTGTTTTGGTTTGCATATTGTTTCAGAAAGCCCAGGCCACGTAGGTTCACCTTTAAATGCAAACGGAATCAATTTCCTCCCTCATCTTTAGTTCAGGATAAGAAGGCAGCGTCTAGGCCGCGCAAACTCAGGATCCTCCCAGCTATATTAGAAGGAGCTGTTGTTGGCTGAGCACAGAAGAAACCTCACAGCCCCAAATTAAGAACAGTGCTGTAAGGTTTTAAAAACCTAATTAAAGTAAATATGTTGAAATGATTAAAAGGCACACACCATTTTTCAAGATAAAAGTTTATTATAGTTTTAAAAGGAAGCTCTTTAATTTGAAATGGAAAGTTTATGGAGCTGCAGAATAAACCTCAGCTGGGAGTAGGGGGTGGATAACAGTTTTCAGATGTTGCAAATATCAGACGTTAACCCCAAGTGATCCTGCCACAACACTGTTTTCCACAGTCTATGACACTGGAAAGCCAAGCCCCTGGTGTCCGTTGAGCGAGTAACAGGGGTGGCAGTTGCTGCAGGTTGTCACCTATAAAATGGTCCTTGACCCAGATAGACATTCTCAGAGGGAAGATTTAATAACAGGCAACCTTACGCGTCCAGAGAGCCAGTGTGGTGTAGTGGTTAAGAGCGGTAGACTCGTAATCTGGTGAACCGGGTTTGCTTCCCAGCTCCTCCACATGCAGCTGCTGGGTGACCTTGGGCCAGTCACACTTCTCTGAAGTCTCTCAGCCCCACTCACCTCACAGAGTGTTTGTTGTGGGGGAGGAAGGGAAAGGAGAATGTTATCCGCTTTGAGACTCCTTTGGGTAGTGATAAAGCGGGATATTAAATCCAAACTCTTCTTCTTCTTCCAGTGACGTGAGGTGAACATGAAGCAAAACATTAATGTAAAGATGTACTCTGACATGTGAGTTTTGCAAACAGATGTGTTTTAAAAGTAAAAACCAGTAATACCTTAGAGGTGAGTTTTTGTGCTCTGAAAAGCACTGCAGAAAAATTGGGTCTAAAGTCTAAAAGACGCAACAGAGGAGAAGCATGAATAGGCTCTCTTCTTCCATGTACATTTTAACGGGTTAATAGCAGCTGCAGGGGCTGATTTAGCTTGAAAGCCACAGAGCTGAGAGAGGGTGGTTTTTAAAATGATGATGATTATGATAATAATAATAATAATAATAATAATAATAATACCGTATTTTTTGCTCTATAAGACTCACTTTTTCTCTCCTAAAAAGTAAGGGGAAGTGTGTGTGTGTCTTATGGAGCGAATGCAGGCTGCGCAGCTATCCCAGAAGCCAGAACAGCAAGAGGGATTGCTGCTTTCGCTGCGCAGTGATTCCTCTTGCTGTTCTGGCTTCTGGGATTCAGAATATTTTTTTTCTTGTTTTCCTCCTCCAAAAACTAGGTGCACCTTGTGGTCTGGTGCGTCTTATAGAACAAAAAATACGGTAATAATTTCTTCCCCTGCCATCAAAGAGAAAGCTTTTAGCTAGATTCACATACTCAGAGATGCTAGAATATGGGGGAACTCAAATTCCACGCACACCTATTTTGAGGTGACAGGGAGGCCACACAAAATGGTTCTTGGAGCTATTCTCATTTGGAATAATTAAATGGTTTTGTTGTGTTTTTAATATTTTGTTGGGAGCTGCCCAGAGTGGCTGGTGCAACCCAGTCAGATGGGTGGGGTATAAATAATAAAATTATTATGATTATGATTACATCTGGTGTGTGTACAGTACATTCTGTCTGCCACAGAAACAGGAGTGAATGGATCACAAGAAGATCAACAGAGGGTGATCAACGGCTGTGTGGAGCCCTCAGAATGGAGGGTCTCTATGAACTACAGTGGTGCCTCGCAAGACGAAATTAATCCGTTCCGCGAGTGTCTTCGTCTAGCGGTTTTTTCGTCTTGCGAAGCAACCCTATTAGCGGCTTAACGGATTAGCGCTATTAGCGGTTTAGCGGCTATTAAAGGCTTATCGGCTTAGTGGATTAGCTGCTAAAAGGCTATTAAAGGCTTAGCGGCTTAGATAAAGGGGGAGGAAAGCGGGGAAAAAATCTCAAGACTCGCAAGACATTTTCGTCTTGCGAAGCAAGCCCATAGGGAAATTCATCCTGTGAAGCAACTCAAAAACGGAAAACCCTTTCGTCTAGCGGGTTTTCCATCTTGCGAGGCATTCGTCTTGCGGGGCACCACTGTAGTCCTAGAATGTGATCATATCCCAGATTTTCCCTTGACTTGACCACGTGAAAAAGTCCTACCTAAATGTATGGTATGCTCCTGGACAGTAGCAATTTGGAGCGATTCTGCCCACTTGTGTGGCCCAAGTCCATCAACAAAAACTGAGGGAAGCCCAGAAGAATTTGCTTTTGTTCACAACCACACCACCGCAGTGAGCAGAAATGGCAACGCTCCGTGTTTACTCCCTTCTGCGCTATCCGATAGCATTGAAATTAAAACGGTCTAAACAAAGAGCCATCGGGCCCTTTTACAATGGAGTCGACGCGGCTCTGATAAAGCCCAAAATGGATTCCTCTGTGCAGACAACATGTCGCGACCCTTAATTTGTTTGTCAGATCCAAAATGCGAATCCTAAAACACACACACATGCTCCCCTTCAGCAATGGTGATTTCCCTCTGCGGCAGGACTCAAGGATGTGCTGTAGTCTTAACTGTTAACATTCAATCTCTAGAAATTATGCTTGGTTACATTGCCAATTAGATTGGCGTTTCCTTGTGATTTTGGCAGAACCTTGTATTAGTCAGGAAGATCCTCAGAGGCTGGGGAATCAGCATGACAAAGAGGAGCTGGTCCTGACCTTTGTCAGACAGAACACCCACTGACTTCTTGGACGGCGTCCTCAGCTTTTAAGAAGTCAGCAGAACTCTAAAGAATTGTTTTTGGCCTGGGTATATTACTAGCTAGTCTTATGAGGGGAATGTGTGTGTGTGTGGCATGGTATCTTTATGAAGATAATAACTAGTCTTTGGAAAGCACTATATATATATATATATATATACACACACACACACACACACACACACATATATATATATATTACTTGTCAGGACTGTTAACGTTTTAAAAGTGAGTTTCTCTTCCAAGTGAAAATGTAAGGCACATTGGAATCTGCCTTATAGCAACTCAGACAGTTGGTCATCACTGTCAATTTTGACTGGCAGAAACTTTCCAGGATTTCACACAGGCGACATTCCCAGTCCCTCAGGTGCTGGGGACTGAACTGAGGACTTTCTGCAGGCAAAAGAAAATGCTCTACCACTGAGCTATGACCAAAAAAGGATCTATTGAAGGGGGGAGCAGGACTGAGAGGCAGTATCCTCTTAACCAGGGGTCAGCAAACATTTTCAGCAGGGGGCCAGTCCACTGTCCCTCAGACCATGTGGTGGGCCGGACTATATTTTGAAAAAAAATAAGGAACAAATTCCTATGTCCCACAAATAACCCAGAGATAAAAAGGTAAAGGGACCTCTGACCATTAGGTCCAGTCGTGACCGACTCTGGGGTTGCGGCGCTCATCTGGCTTCATTGGCCGAGGGAGCTGGTGTACAGCTTCCGGGTCATGTGGCCAGCATGACTAAGCCGCTTCTGGTGAACCAGAACAGCACACGGAAACACCGTTTACCTTACCGCTGGAGCAGTACCTATTTATCTACTTGACTTTGATGTGCTTTCGAACTGCTAGGTTGGCAGGAGCAGGGACTGAGCAACAGGAGCTCACCCCGTCGTGGGGATTCGAACTGCCGACCTTCTGGATCAGCAAGTCCTAGGCTCTGTGGTTTAACCCACAGCGCCACCCGCGTCCCAACCCGGAGATGCATTTTAAATAAAGGGGCACATTCTACGCATGTAAAAACAAGGTGATACGCGGACTGTCCAGGGGCCAGATTTAGAAGGTGATTGGGTCGGATCTGACCCCCGGGCCTTAGTTTGCCTACCCATGCTCTTAACCCTCGACATGTTTTGTAACACAGAGCCTAGACACATACTGCCATCAAAGTCACTTCAATAAGAGCCCAGGGAGAAAAGAACTCTGAACCCTAACCCTAAAAGAGAGACCTTGTCTTTCTTGCTTCAGGCCTTTGTACATGGCAGGTGGCATTCAACCGAAACATACGTAGGAAATACTCCCTCAGTTTTTCACAGCCAATCATAGCCTGTGCATTACAGATGCCTGCTAAATATCATTAGGGAGGGGATTCCAGAGAGTAGGCACTGCAATGCTAAAAGCCCTGCTTCAGCTTATAAAAACCATCCTGGCCAGGCTAATTAAGTGCAGAGCAATTAAGGAACAATGGGGAACCAAGTACCCAGCCATTAATGGCCATTGGCAATGCTATGAGGAGTGGGCGGAGGCAGGAGAATGGGCAGGTTGCCACGGTGATGGAGGGAGCGTGATGTCACAGGAAAAATGGTCCTTTTTGAAATCTAAAGGTGTTCTGGGAACAGGAAGTCAGCCCTGGCTGGAGGAGAGAAACTAGGAATGACTGCTGCTTTATACCCAAGCTTGCTGAAGCTATGAGAGGAGCAATGAGAGACACGCTTGGAACATAATGTTCTGCACACACACACACCCCATTGAAGACTTTAGGTGTAAATATGTGTAAAATAAACAATATTTCTCAAAGCCACTAGCCTCCACGGTGCCTTGATTTACCCGACGGAAGCACAACCCCTCAGCAGAGATTGAGGGTGCCGCACAACCTTCGTAACAATCTGTTAATATTTATAATTCCATAAGAAATCTTTGGCTGGACAGATTTTGGCTGTGTACATTCCAATGCATTTGAAGCTCATTCTTTCCCCCCAAGTAATTCTGGCCACTGTAGTTTACCCCCACAGTGTTACTATTCCCAGCAATACCTTAAAAAAAAAACAAAAAAACTACTGTGCCCAGAATTCTCTGAGGGGGGTGGGGATTGTGCTTCGAATGTGCTTTATTGTGTGTACGCGGCCTTAGAGATCTGAGACGTGGAGAAATATTAGGTGCAAAAGAACTTTTTCTTTTCTTTTATCGGCTTACAAACCACACAATAAACAAAGGATCTGGGTGGCGAACATTACTCATCCACAAAGCAGCATAAAAATACTTAGCCGGCATCTGGAAAGCGAGACATTGATGGTTGAGCTATACATCAGAAAAAGCCTATATAAACAGAAGAATCTTAAGTAGACGCCCAAAACAAAGTCCCGATAGCCGTAGCATAACAGTAACGGACAAGGATTTCCACAACACAGGCACATACTAGAGACTTGCAGAAGCAAAGCACTAACATCATGCCATTCCCTTCCTAGTGCCTCTCCAGCTGAATGCAAAAACTGGGCGGTCGTATGCCTCCCTCCTTATATATACTTAAAGCATTTGCGTAGCAGGTCTCCTGTTTTATGCTTGCGCCTGGGTGAATGATTTTGATTAACTCGAAGGGAAATCGCAGCTTTGTTAGCGCATTCTCACTCCGAGCAGCTCTGCCTGATTCCTTTGGAGTTGGCTAATGCCGTTTTCTGTGCATGTAATTTCATATAATCTGATCATTCTGCATGCGCTTTTTTTTTTTTTAAAAAACTGTCACTTACGTGGGGGAGCAACAACGATGCCGGAAGAATTTCCTGGTCTGCTCTGAATTAGGGGACCGGAGCAAAGCTGCTGAAGATTCCTTCTCTACCTAAAGCGTTTCAAAACTCCCTTGGCTGAGAGAGGGGAACTCAGATATGGTCTGTTCAGGGCGTTCTCTGCAACCCACACATTGTTTAAAGATGGTGTGCTTTAGGATGGATTTGTGTGTGTACGCAAATTGCTGAAGAGCCCATCAAGGGCCCAGTCATCAATGTGTGCACACTGAAAAAAAGGGTGTGTGAGATCTTTCCTACCTGTCCTGATTCCTCCCTCCTATAACCACTTGTTGTTGTTGTTGTTTAGTCATTTAGTCGTGTCCGACTCTTCATGACCCCATGGACCAGAGCACGCCAGGCACTCCTGTCTTCTACTGCCTCCCACAGTTTGGTCAAACTCATGCTGGTAGCTTCGAGAACACTGTCCCACCATCTCGTCCTCTGTCGTCCTCTTCTCCTTGTGCCCTCCATCTTTCCCATCATCAGGGTCTTTTCCAGGGAGTCTTCTCTTCTCATGAGGTGGCCAAAGTATTGGGGCCTTAGCGTCACGATCTGTCCTCCCAGTGAGCACTCAGGGCTGATTTTCTTAAGAATGGATAGGTTTGATCTTCTTGCAGTCCATGGGACTCTCAAGAGTCTCCTTCAACACCATAATTCAAAAGCATCAATTCTTTGGTGATCAGCCTTCTTTATGGTCTAGCTCTCACTTCCATACATCACTACTGGGAAAACCATAGCTTTAACTATACGGACCTTTGTTGGCAGGGTGATGTCTCTGCTTTTTAAGATACTGTCTAGGTTTATCATTGCCCTATAACCACTAGCTAGCCATAACATACTGCCATCTTGCTATGAGAACTTATATTTGCGTACAACAAAGATGATCTCTCCCTTAGGCTAAACTTGTAGTGACTAGATAAGGGTAAAGGGTTTGGGGTGGTAATTCAAAACCTCTCTGGTGGCAAAGGTGTTTTTCCTTTTTCAGAGGGGTGGAGCTAATTTGGAAAGGGGGAAAGGATTATTCCACCTGTGGTGTTTTATTTTTTAAAAAAATGAAGGCAGCATGGCATTCTATCATAAAAATGGAGCTATGACTGAACAGGGCAGTTTGATCTTGACCTCTCTCTTCCTGTTCTACAATGATAATTAAGACATACCTGTTTTGTGGTGATCTGCGCAGACTGCTCATAAGTTACCGGGATAAATGAAAGGGGTTGAACAACTTGAGACCAAGATACTATTGGACTATTTGGAGATGGAGAAACTGACGGCAAAAATAAGAGACCCAGGACTCAGCTACATTAGTCGAAAAACAGCGCATTGTATGCATTATAAACATGCAACAGCAGATGGCGCCAGAGAGCAAACAAATTTTCTATGCAATTTTTACATAGGGTTTTTTCTTTTCTTTTGTTATAATGATTTAGTTTCCGACATATTTATAGCGTCCCCCCCCCCCCGCATGTAGATCTACCCCCAAAAGATGAAAAGTTTGTCGAAGAGTGGAGACCCTTTTCAGATTATCTGAGAAAATACTATGGCCAAATGAAATCACAGGTAGGGCTTAAAATATAAACAAAGGAATGAGAATGTAATGTAGGATATATGTTATAGAAATAAATATTATATTTAAGGCATTAGATAAAAGGATTTGAACAGAAACATCATGGAAGTAAGGATGGGAAGTCAAAATGCTAAGGGAATATTGTGTGGAAACTTAATTGAATTTGTTAAATTGTAAGAAGATCAATAACAAATTATGATAAAATGTCCTTTGCTGTGGGTGGGTGGGAGGGAGTGAAGGGTAGGGTCTTCTGGGTAACTGCACCCTGACTTTGGATGTCCTGTCCCTCAGAGACTTAGGACTTAGCTGCAAATAAAACGTTTTAAGTGTGTTTTAGGTGCAATATATGTGTCACTAGATGGCGATGGCAA